AAGCAGGTTTTCATTAGCGGGTGTTTACTGTATTGTTCTATCATACGGTACATGAGGCAGTTAGTCTACACCAGTGTCATTCAGTGTCGTCAAAATTCTTTTTCTAAATAACGCGGTTTGAAAACAAATACTTCAAAGTGTAGTAATCCTTCAGGGCTGTTACCGCACCACTAGGCGAGTATTACGAGCCAGCGAAAGGGACAAGCGGGGAAGGAGGTAGTTTCTTTTCTACTTGCTCGCTGTGTTTAGTTTTTAGTCTTTCCTGACAACTTTCCCAGCTCTCAACTAACCGAAAAAGGCACTGAGAGCAGTCCAGACAACTCTGTACAAATCTCGTTTAGAGACAGTGTAATTCCTTTATGCATTCTGCACTTTTTATTTGAAATTCTTTGCAACAATGTGTATCTTTTGTTGTTTTACAGGAATCGTGATAGAAAGCCTAAACAGAACAGGAATTATAATTACGCCAAATCTACTCCGCGTCGTTCGAGTTTTCCGCATCGGCAGACTCTTGCGCTTCTTCCAGAAAGCTAAAGGAATTCAAAGACTGATTTTCTCGCTTCTCATTTCCTTGTCTGCGCTGTTTAATGTTGGAGCCATACTTTTTCTCATTATGTTTATATACGCTATCATAGGAATGTCCTTCTTTGGTTACGTGAAGAAGACTGGCGCATTAAACGATGTCGTGAATTTTGAAACGTTTTTGAACTCTATGCTGCTGATCTTCCGTTTAATGACCGCCGCGGGATGGAACGATGTTTTAGATCCCTTGATGATCGAGCCGCCTGATTGTGATCCAGATTACAAGGATTTGTCGAACGGAAATTGTGGAAACTACTGGGCTGCGGTCATCTATTTTTACAGTTTCATAATAATTATTTTTCTAGTACTCATCAACATGTATGTCGCGGTAATTCTGGAAAATTACAACAATGTGATCGAGCAAGAAAAGGTTGGAATAACAGAAGACGACATCGATTTGTTTTATGAACACTGGATTTTATATGATCCTGATAGCACTCAATATATATATTATGGCAATCTATCAGACTTTCTCCACACGTTGGAGGGGAACCTGGGTATAAAGAAACCAAACAAGGCCGCATGCGCGCTGCTAAATATACCGCTGTACGAAGACGACAAGATTTACTGTCTGCATTTGCTACAGGCCTTGGTGCGTAAGGTTGTCAGCGGCTACGAGGAGTTTGATTCTGATGAATTCAAAGTGGTGTTAAAAAGGATGGAAGAGAAATTTCGGGCTGTGTTTCCCTCTGTAACACACTACCGTCAAACGAATACCACACTGGTTAAGATCCGCCAGATCAGGGCAGCTCAAGTAATCACGCGCGCCGTTAGAAGATATCGCGCAAGAAAACAAAGAGAGGCACTGGGTTTGAGTCAAGGAAGTGGGGAAAAGTTAAGGGTAGCGGCAAAGGAAAAACACGCATTTGACGGAAAGACCGCGATTCGCAGGGGAAAAATGGGGAACCGCATCGCCGACATGTTGGTCCATGGAAATACCCTCAGTGATTCTTTACCTAATTTGAACAGAACGGTTGATAATAAAGAAAAAAGAGGTTCACTGAGTCAAATTATGGGGATCAGCCATGGTAGTACAGAAACTATAAGAACCTTAAATCGTAGTCTAAAAGAACCAGGAAAACACGCAGTTAGCAGTGGAAAGAGCGGAAGTCATTTTGACGTTGTAGATGACAAGAGTTTGAGCGATTCGGTTCCAAATTTGTCTAAAAGAGGCCACGAAAAGGACAAACTAGCTCTCCAGGCTTGGAAAAGAGAAACCATTCCGAGAACACCAACTTTGAATAGACCGCTAGTCCACGATCGGCTAGCTGTCCTACGACAACAAAAACCAAGGTCTGCTCCCCTCAAGAAAATTAAAATCTTAGAACAACCTAAAATCCATAAGGCGGATCCTTGACGTTTAATTCTGTTTTGTTTAGGGAAAGATGTAATGAATTTAAGACTTTTTTAAAAAAGTTCTCTGGAAATTATGTTTAAAAAGGTGCAGTGTCAATTTTTTTTTGAGTGAAGATAATAATACTTTTTAATAGGAAAAAATCTCAGAACGAATATAGTTCAATATTATCATATTGTAACACTGACAATTTTCTAAAGGATCTATTTTTTTAGTTATAACTTCATAATTTTTCAGAAATTACTTATTGTTGCTGCAACGTTCAATTTCAGTTTGATTTATTTTTGTATTTATTTACTTATGTGTGGACGTGTTATGAAATTTCCAATAGCCGTTAGCATGTTTACGTCGTGATAGGCCAATTTACTATTATGCTCCGTTTATGAAACAGAAATACTCATCTATTTTTGTCTATTTACTTAGTTTCGCCAGATTCTTGGCAGGGCGATCCGCGCAACAGTGTTTGACGCCTCTACGCGGGCCCGTAACAGTCCCTGGTGATTTTACTATTGTAAAACTTGCTGAGTTTGTATTCCAAACCAAGGTTTTAGCTCAATTAAGCTACTACGACGTAAACATGCAGAAGGGCTACATCGACTAAAATAAATAAATTCGGTAATACCAAAATATGAACCTTGTAGATTTTCTCTATTTGTTTATGGCGTAGAAAAGGTAAAGAGTCCTTCTTTTACTTTGGTAGCTCGAAATAGTTATCTGACTAACAAACCTGAGGCCGACGGTTCGCTTATCTCCTGCTCAGGGGACCGTGCACGATCCAACTGCGCTAATCATTCCTCCGCGTGGTAGAGAAGAAAACAAAAGGCAGCACTAAGTAACCACCCGGGGAATACTCCTGGGAATTCTTGGCTGGGATGTGCTGCCCGGTTCTCCAAATCCTGACAATATTTCAGATGAAAAAATGTGATTTTTCACATTTGGCCTCAAAAAAATGCATACCCACTCTAAGACCTAGCCTTTAAGAAATTATGTCATCATTCAGTTTGGATTAGAACAGCAACAAAAAAAGATTTCTCAAAATCCATTTCGAATTCGCATATTTCTTTTTCTTACTTACTTATTTAGAATTGAAACAATAAATAGTTCGTACACTCCCGTAGTTCCCTTGAAAACCATACCCGATTCCAGACCAAAACGGCGCAAAAACCCTACCCTTTGGAAAACCGGCACATACCTTCACGGCTTATATAGGGGAGTACCCCCAGGGTAACCGCCACTCTTAGGGCACCGACTTGGGATGGTGTCGAAGACTTTCTGATAACAAAAACAGAAAATATTTTTAAAGACTCGCTGCCATAAAACATGATCCGTCACTCGTACTCAACTCTATGCAAGACTCTGTACACCGGCATGGGAAAGCAAGCTGCACTATAATCAATTTGAATCTTCTACCAGCAGTAACTAGTCTCCAAGTTGAGTTCTGTTTCACCCTTGTTATTATTCATTTTCGGGCGGTCTGGCAAAGCCGTTCTTTCCAAATCAAGATCAAAATTTGAATAGGTTCCCAGGTAATGTGATTAAGTTATCATTTAACAAAACAAAATGGACTGGTTTGTTACATATAGGACCAACCTTTTCGTTCTTTAGACTTTTGTTTGAATATTGGATTTCGGGCCCAAAACGTTACTTAGACTTTCGAGAAACGCGCCACAGGCCCCGCTATCGTGAAAAACAGAGAGCGGAGCATCATGGGAAGAATGCTAAGCGCGCGCTTGCAAAGGCGGGAGCTTTTTGAGCCGTGCGTGGTCAAAATAAAAATTGCCGCACGATGCTTCGCTCAAATTCCATGCTTTCTCCATGATGTTGCCTTTTCAGTTTTAAATCAGAAGTGAAATCCTGCTTGGTTTGCAATTATTGGTTTTACAAGACATTTAGTTTTCAAGCAAGCAGTAATTGAGTCTTTATATTCTTAACTAGACCTTTGATGTCACAAACTAATTATCGTACGTTCATTATAATTGTGACAGTACGCAAGCTGACAAAAATGAAAAAACAAAAGGAAATCCTAGAAAAGCAGCTTTAGCTTAAGACGCTGCGGAAAATGAGAGGAGTTTCAGAAACTGCAGTTGTGTTTTTATTTTCCATTTCCACTTTTGGCCTGGTTTATGGAAATCATGTATCTGGCAGGATAGAATGTGACCGAAAGTTGGTGTTAGTTTCCAAATTTTGGTTCGCTGACGATGTGGGACGGCTAGATTTTAAAGTGAAATACTCCACAACGAGCAATTGCTGTCCAAGCCTAGCATATTACAACGACAAATTTAACGACTGGGAATCTGTTAACCAAAACAGCGACATGGTCTGCCAGTCTAAGTTAAGCTACGCACAGGGAATGTTCTCATTTGAAAATGCTACAACAGGAAATAACAACTCAACTGATCGAAGCTATTCAGTCCAATGCCACACCAACGGCGATAGTTATCTTCGGGTTTGCTCGGGGACACTTCGGGTTGACTTGGTAGATAATGGATGGTGGTCCTTTGTCCTTAGTCACTGCAATAGCACTCGAGGACTGAACATTTCTTACGAGTTCAACTTTACAGATGGGTATTTTTGGAATGCAGATACATCGACCAGGAGAGTACAAGACATCTTTGATAGCCACCTTATATCACTTGGCGGCTATTTAGTTTTGTATATGGCTTCGTTTTACTTCGCTAGACATCTTCATCGAAGAGGCATGTTACACCCAGCCTTCAAACTCTTCATGACAAGTCTTGGATTCAAGACCGGCGCTGTTCTATTTGACTTTATTTTCCACACTAACTACGTTCTGTCTGGATTAGAACTTTCTCTATTTACTATCAGTGAGGTACTCCACGCGACAAGTGAAATTATTCTTATTGTCTTGTTAATTCTGCTAGTTTTCGGCTGGACAATTACCAAGGCTCGTCTTAACGAAAGTAGACAAACCAAACTCAAAATGTTTTTCTCGAGTTACACCTTAATCTTTGGTATTCTGTTTGTTCTTGAGCAGCGGCTATTCTTTCCGGAAGTTCTTCAAATTGCACGTCTGGGAAACGCAGTGTTAAGATCGTTAGCATGGGTTTTGTTTGTCTATGGTACTATTTCTACAATCCGAGAAAACCCAGCAAAGCAACAATTCTTTTTGTCTCTTATGGTATTCTTTTCTGTTTGGTTTCTCACAAAACCGGTCGCTTCTCTAGAATCCGCTTTCTCTTCTGAGGAATGGCTAATCGCACTGAGATTCCATCGTCTGGAACCTATCCTTTGCTTTATTGGCTTCGGTTGTCTTCTTAGCATTATGGGGCCCAAACACTTTCCTTTTCATGCTCGCACCAATGGAGTAGGCCCACCGCAGGTGCAAAATCCGCCGGTCACATTTAATGAGACCACAGGATGGAACGAAAGTAACCGGACATTTGGAACCCAACCAACGTACTAAACAGAAGAAAAATGAGATATAAGAGAACTTGAGGAATACTTTGGTTACTACTAACGTTAAAATCACACTAAAAAACTCCTAGTACTGAGATGTAGACCTCTGAATAAAGTTACAACTGAATGCATGTTATTCGTAATTCGCTGTGTTACTTTGGAGGTTGTGCATATCAGGGGTCTGCTAGATTAAAAATCATAGTGTAGCAAATTGCAAATTGTTTAAGAGCTATTGGTCGTATAATGTTTCTATGAACTACACACTGTCCCGCGCATTTTCAGCAAGCACCCTAAAGTGTATTCCTAATCTGATTTCGCTACAACTCTTGATATCGCCTGTCAATGAGTTCTAGTTTGGGGATATCAGATCATAATCACCGAACTAGTCATGGTTAACTATGTATTTGGCTTCAAACTTTGCTCTTTTTTGTAGATTACTTGATTCGTTGTAAGATGGTCAGCGGAGAGCACAAACTGCCGCGAAAACGGCAACCAATCAGCGGTTTTTCTGCCCTGCCGTGTAGCATACGTTTCTGGGGGAAAGGGGAAGAGAGAAGCGAAAGGAGGAGAGAGCAAACCTTCTTCTCTCCCTTCCCCCTCCCCCTACGCCCTCTGAAATGTAGTCTCCCCTCTACCCCTGAGGGAGAACTGATACTCGAGGGTCTCAGTGGGGCTAGTGCACGGTATACCAAGTGAATAGCAAGTCTGGAGTAGCGTCACAAAGAACACAGTAAAGATCCCTAGCCCTTACACAATAACACAATAAACATCTTACAATAGAACGAGCCATAGCGGCATATATTGACTTGGTATAGCGAGCATCACCCCTCAATGGGGTTAACCGTCAGCCGCGAAACCTTAAAGTTAACTGTCAGCCCTCAAAAAAGGTCTTTATTTGTCGCCATCCGTCAAAAATGCAGATTGATTTAGCCGTCAAAAAGTTTCAAGGTACAGAGCGTTTCCGCATGACGACACAGGGCCATATTGGTGTTCAAAAAAAATGAAACGGCGGCCATGTTGGTGTCCCAAAACCAGTCCTGTTTGCGATGAACTACGCTTTCTTTTGATCCAAAAAAAGTTGCATAGATGCTTGCCACGCTACATTTCGAATCTCACGTGCAATATTTCAGCTAAGCATCACTGACTTCGGACTCCTGAAGAATCTCTAAACTGAAAAAACCTGTTCCTATGTTCTCAAAAACACTCTCACTAGATATAGAAAGGGCGTACAACTTGCTTATGTCTGAAACTAATCCGAAATTTTCTAAGAGAGAGGCCACGACAACCTTCAAAACACAGATAATATTAATTTATACTGAGGTTAGAATATACTTAGACTCACCCTCAAAGGTTCTGAAATTTAACGGTCAACCCTCAAAGCTACCAGCCCATTGAGACCCTCATACTGTAACCTGAGATTAGGCCCGATTTTAGCAGTTCTCATACATTCTCTCAAAGTTATTTACAAAGCGAAACGAAAATAGAGCCTAATCTCTGGTTATATTACTCATACTCAGACTAATCATGGTAAAAACTGAAAACTGAAAACCTCAGGTTAATCACTTTCGACATCTCCGCGGTGCAGTTGCGCTCCTTTACAGAAATCGCGCCAAAATCATTTTATTTTAGATCAATTAAACGCTTGAAAATCATGGGAGATTGGTTTCCGGAGACGTCCTCAATTTCATTCAATTATGATGTCAAGAGAAATAAGGAGCATTGAAATATGCTCTCTTAGTGTTTCGCTATTAAAATATTCGGTATTGTTTGCTTTGAGGCAGTCGCGCGTGGACGCGATGACGTTTCAAACAATGCCTATTAAAATATTTAAACGTCCAAGGAATCAGACTCTAAAAATAAGTTTATTAATAATTTATATATATCCTAGTCACCGCATAAGATTTCCTCTCTGTCCAATTATACTCTCTTGATATCTATCATTACCCTGTCGGTCGACTTAGTACAGTCAAGAGACTATAAAGGGGACAGAGAGGGCATCCCCCATATACACCCTATTCCATAGGTAATTCGTCTGGAGTTATTTTTAGAATCGGGATAAAGTTACCTCGCGCGAGGCGTGGATGTTTCGTGGAGGTTTCGCATGACCAAACGTCGTGCAAAACATGTCGGGCGAGAGGCAATGAAAGCGTAAAAAGATCGAGAGCATTCCTGAATATTGAAGCGAAATGAGTCGGCGCTCACCTGGGAAAAAGGAATCGCTGGACTCTTTGACAAGCCGTGAAATCAGTTTAACTCGAAGTTGTCGTAACCTCAGTGCTTTAATAAAATGAGAAATTTCGCCGGTCTATTGAAACCGGTCGTTTGTACAATTTAGGGAGTTTGAGATCCAACGACGCGGACGACAACTAGAACGTCAAAAAAACAATAGGTTTAATTAGCAAAACAACAACTTCGCACGTGCAACACACTTTTTTGTTCATTTCTTTCCCGTTTTTGCACGACTACGACGTGAAAATGCCTAATTTCGCGTTTTATGGAGGACGTAAATAAGCAACGACGAAATTTTATTTCTCTTTCTGAGCTTGAATATGGTCCGTTGAAATTCAGCTTTAGGAGGGTTCGCCTACAATTGACAAAGTAAGTGGGTAGGAATAATCGCTATAAAGACTGAAAAAAACAAACATCAAACCAGAAATTGCTCTCTTCAAACTGTAAATTATAAATGATCCTCAGAGAATATTCAGTGTGTTAAGGATTTCCCTGCTCTACTGTTAGCTCTATACAAGAGAGGAAGGGCGATTCCTTTTTAATTTCGGTTTCGCTGACACAGCTTTCCGGCAGAAATCTCGCTGTAGTCGTTTTCGTCGACAAAAGGAATAGCAAAATCGCTCTCCGCGTCTTCCCCCATTTTGTTCTGCGTCATTTCGTGAAGGACGCGTGGGTCATCCACGCGGAACACATTCGCGCTATGTGATTGGCTGTTGTCTAATCCCCCTTGATATCTGTGGTGTTGAAAATAACTCGAGACGAATTACCTATGGAATAGGGTGTATATGGGGGATGCCCTCTCTGTTCCCTTTATAGTCTCTTGGTACAGTATATTTGATTCTATTCCAGGACTTGTGCGTTTAACAAACTAAGTCTAGCTCAGCACTCAAAATCTCATTCCAGGGCAGCATGATGGTCTGGGGTACTTATAATCATTGTAACCGCTGCTATTTCAATTTTAAAGTGGAACAATGACGACCGAGGCTGTATTAAACAGTACTGGGATTCTGGGAATAATCCTAATCTACATCGTCATCGGTCGTTTGAAGGGTACTGTAAAAACAACCCACAAGGCGCGGTTAGAATATGTTGACGTCCGAGCTTACTGTTCACATGTTAAAAATGTATTGTAAAGAGGGCACGTCTGTTCTCCTCCCATTCACGACTGAATTTCTTCCTTCCTTCATTCATTCATTCATTCATTCATTCATTCAGAATGGAATTATGGGTCGGACAGTGTAGCGGCGAAACCCTTGGCGATGCTTACACCGGATGGAAATCAGTGTCCGGGATAATTATCGAAGAAGTATCTAGGCCCCAGTCCTAATAAGGGAGTCTCGAATACTCTTTGGCGCTGTTTTACTCATTCTCTTTCCCAGAGCTTCAATCCTTTTAGTCAGCGTCCTCGAAGCTCTGGGAACGAGAATGTCTTTCACTTTTCTCAGGGGAGGCGACCATGTACAAATATAGAAAATGTAACATGTGTAAAGCACACGGTTTTTCCTTTTAGCTTTTGGAATTATTTGCCTTTAGCTGAAGGAATGGAAGCTGAATATCCTGCATTCTTATAAAAATTGCACACTTACTTATAAAACAGCGAGAGTTCGTAAACCTTCAGTAGTCGTATTCTCTTGGTAATTGCAAAAATTGCTCCAATTTTCTTGCAGCAGATTCTCGATAGCTACCTGTTTTAGGCCCGTTTTTCTTCGTTTTTCCATCGATAAAAAGATCGTTCCGATAAATCATAACATGTAAACCAGCTTAAAGCCCTCTAGTTACAAGAGCAAGGTTTCTTCAACAAGAAAAACTTCATCTTCAGTAGTTGCTTAACTCCTTAAGTCCCAAGAGAGACCAAAGTCAATTTTCTCTTAACAGTGTCAATACATAATCAAGAGAAACTGCTGTGAGAGTTAATGAAATGATCACCTGGTAGGCAGAGCTTTGATCTACAAATAAATTCTCTTAAGAAATTCTTGAAGGAAATTTATGGAGATCAGTGTGGAGAATTTGTATCTGGATAAAATTGGGTCAAAAGGAACATGTCACGAGAATATTGCTCTTTTACATCAATTCTGTGCGGAAGCCATAATTACTTAGTGCCATCAAGAGCTTCTTGGTGCCATTTAACCCATACGCAACGCTCTTTCCCGTGGCGTGACGAGACAAAAATTGCTGAGATGGAGAGCCATCGACTGGCAATCTTTTTTAAAGGTGATCTGTAGTGAAATAATCTTTCATCTGAAAAAATATTTTCAAAAATCTTTAATTAAATCGCGCCTTAAGCACGATTCCTTTTGAAGCTTTGAGGCAAAACCTCAGAAACCTTTATTAAAATCGGATAAGAATTTTGAGGATTAAAATCTCACCTAGTAAAATTTATAACAATTAGCTTGAAAGATAAAAATATGATAATATATAGGAGAACTTCATTATCCCTAGCCTGTGTGGCAAGATGTATGGGTATACCCGGTCTTGGATACCCATACATCGAGTGATAGCAAGTTAAGTTATGCCGAACCGTTCAGTACGAACTTCGTCAAAAGTGCGGTTTTCTTTTATTTAGCAAGACCTTTTATTGCTTTGTAGGGTTTTATATACCGTAAATTTCACGATTTTATCTTTTTCTGTGTTTTTGATGGTTTCCTTTAAAAAATACTATTACTTTTATCTTAGCCTGATACCAACATCGTAGAGATCAGATGTTGATGAGTTATAGTGATTCGGCTGAATATATTACATGGCAAGTACTTGCGCATTTGATCATATCTTTTAATGTTA